CCCCACCCCCGATGCCACCCCCTCCACTGGGCTCCCCTTTCCCAGTCATCAGCTCTTCCATGGGGTCCCCTGGTCTGCCCCCTCCAGCTCCCCCAGGATTCTCCGGGCCTGTCAGCAGTCCCCAGGTGAGAGGTCGTGGCTCACTGACTGCCTCTCCACTTTCATTTCCTTGTTTTCCTTGTGACCCCAGATCCTTGTGTGAACTTCCCCATGGCCCACTGACCTTCCAGTCCTCTAATCCTGGCAGGCCTGTGGTCCTTGTGAGACCCCTTGCCCTTCCTGAGGTGACTGATCTTTCAGTGCATGCTTCCTTCCCAGCCCTATAAAACAACCCGATATTCTGATGTCCCTTTCATCTATCAGTTATTTTTCTGCCCTTTTTATCCCATCTGCCGTCCTGAGATATATGCCCTTCAGGGCCCCTGTGTTGCACAATTTCAAGGAGAACTGTATGTCTAATTTTTGGGGGGTTGTGCTCCAAGGGTGGCCCTTCACAGACTGCAATGTAAATAATGTCCTCTGTGATGTGCAATGCAGGGCCCTGCCTAGGTGGTAGGGGATGATTTCCATGACCTCTGAGAGATTCTCCTTCCCAGTGAGTCTCCCTGTGACTTCCCTATTTCCCCCATCCCAGATTAACTCAACAGTGTCGCTCCCTGGGGGTGGGTCTGGCCCCCCTGAAGATGTGAAGCCACCAGTCTTAGGGGTCCGGGGCCTGCACTGTCCACCCCCTCCAGGTGGCCCTGGGGCTGGTAAACGGCTATGTGCAATCTGCGGGGACCGAAGCTCAGGTATGGGGCTCAGAGATCATCGGAAAGGAAGAAAGAGAGTATCTGACATTTACCATCACCTGTGGGATTCCCAGGGGCTCATGGGGTTGCATTGGAGCAAGTGGATGGGAGGAAGCCTGGTGATGACTAAGGGACCTGAAGCTCAGATGTGGGATGGGGGATGGTCAGGGGGAAGAGGGGGCTGGTATAGGGTTTTTGAACAGTAAGGAGAGTGGGACTGGGTCATCCCTCATGTCCTGGTTCCCCATCTGTGTGGATGGATTTAAACTAAGTTTGCTGGGAGGGAAGTTGGCAAGGGACTTGATTGTGAGGGGTCTACATGCGGCCTTGCTGTTGCTGTTCCCATCTCCTTCAAGGCAAACACTACGGGGTTTACAGCTGTGAGGGCTGCAAAGGCTTCTTCAAGCGTACCATCCGTAAGGACCTGACCTACTCGTGCCGGGACAACAAGGACTGCACAGTGGACAAGCGCCAGCGAAACCGCTGTCAGTACTGCCGTTATCAGAAGTGCCTGGCCACTGGCATGAAGAGGGAGGGTAAGGGCCTGCGTCAGCCGGGCTTCCTTAGCTACCCTATGGGAGAGGAGGGAGGAGGTGGAGGGAAGACTGCAGGAAACTGCAGACTGTACCTCTCAGGACTGGACTGTTCTCCCTCCTCCTCCAGAGGGCGATATTTGATTTCTCTCTTCCCTCCTCATCAGCTCTTGTCTCTCGAATTCTGCTCTGTTCTCTTGAGTTTCCTTTTTTTAATGGGGCTGCTTCTCTGTGTCCGGCACCCATGACCCCTCCCATCTGGTGCTAGGGTAGGATAACTATTCCTTACCCATGATGAGTTTCTCTGTCTCCCCTTCACTAACCTGAATAGTTCCTCTTCTTTTGACCAGTGCTTGTGTGCCTGTGATTTACCTCTCCCTCTCTCTCTGTCTCCCTGTTATCTGTGATTCCTCCTCCAAAGTCTGGGACTCTACTCTTTGAAGCTGCAGACTTTACTGAAGACCTCAGGGCTGCCTCCCCTTCTCTTTCTCTTATCTTCTTAAGTCTAATTCTGGAATTATCAGACACTTTAAGGTATCTTGGTCCAATGCCTCATTTTAGAGAAGATGAGCCTGAGGCCTGGTTTTTCTGGGGTCATGCAACGAAAGAGGGGGCAGGGCTGCAATCAGAACCCACAAGTTTGAAGACCCGGGCCAGTGATCCTTTCACTGTGACTTTGTTGAATCGGAAGAGCACCAGATTTGCAGCCAGGCACACTTGGATTTAGATGGACGACTTGCTCTATGTTATGAGAACTTGGACAAGCTGTCTAACTTCTCCAAGCCCTAAAATTTTCATCTTTAATAACAAAGATAAGAGATCCTGGAATTTTCATAATAATTGAGTGAATGTTAAAATGTATTTGGCCCATTTCTTAGACCCTAGGTTTAAATGTTAGTTTTCTTCCTAATTCCTTTATCCTGCCTTCCTCTTCTCCTTCTTGGCTTATTTATATGCTCTTTTATAGCCCCTGCTTCCAGACTCCCTAGTCTACCATTTCTAGTGACTTCTCTAATTTCTATAAATATCTCCTAAGGGCCTTGAGAACCCTGATAAGGCCCTAAAGACATTTCAGAACCCTTCACGGCTGACTGTTGACTTTCCACTTTTTCTTCTCCTCCCCTCCCCCCACCCCAGCGGTACAGGAGGAACGTCAGCGGGGGAAGGACAAGGACGGGGATGGGGAGGGGGCTGGGGGAGCCCCCGAGGAGATGCCTGTGGACAGGATCCTGGAGGCAGAGCTTGCCGTGGAGCAGAAGAGTGACCAGGGCGTTGAGGGTCCTGGGGGAACCGGGGGTAGCGGCAGCAGCGTGAGTGATGGGGTCAATCCACTCTCTCTCCTGATGGGGGATGGGGGACGGGAGTCTAGGTTGGTTCTATTTCCCTCTCCCCTCCCTTTACCCTCCATCCCCCCTAACACTGCCTGGGACTGGAAGTGCTGCCAAACAAGGTCTCTCAAACATCTGAGGTGGGTGTGATAGCTTTCTCTGTCCCCATCCCAAAACAACCCAGTGGTAGAACCATGGGCTAGTCCTAAATAAATAATTGTTTTCGCGAATGCCAGAAGAGAAGCCTGACTAATGGGGATTGGTTCAGATGGGTTTGAAGGGAGACTCTAGATAAGGAGGTGGTGTCAGAAACCTCTTACAAGGTGGGGACTTCCAGTATACCTCCAGACCTTCCGTAACTCTTACCTCCCCATCCCCTGCAGCCAAATGACCCCGTGACTAACATCTGTCAGGCAGCTGACAAACAGCTATTCACGCTTGTTGAGTGGGCGAAGAGGATCCCACATTTTTCTTCCTTGCCTCTGGATGACCAGGTCATATTGCTACGGGCAGGTCAGTGACCTTGGATCCCCTTTACCTCTTGATATTTGATCCCTGTTTGACCTCTGACCTTCAGTGACCCCAGTGCATACTTACATACCAAGGGAGCCAAGTTCATTGATTTCCTCACTTCTTCTCTTCCCCTGATATGCTTTGAATCCCATGGTCTGAGCTCTGGCTCCTGACCCTTGCCGCCCCCCACGCAGGCTGGAACGAGCTCCTCATTGCTTCCTTCTCCCACCGATCCATTGATGTCCGAGATGGCATCCTCCTCGCCACAGGTCTTCATGTGCACCGCAACTCAGCCCATTCTGCAGGCGTGGGAGCCATCTTTGATCGGTCAGTGGCCTTCGGCTAGGCTGGCCTGTAGGTAGAGGGGGTGGGGCTATAGGCTGGTCCGTGTCCAAGGCTGGCTGAGCTGTGACCTTTGAGTGACCTGCAGGTCCCTCTCCAGGGTGCTGACAGAGCTAGTGTCCAAAATGCGTGACATGAGGATGGACAAGACAGAGCTTGGCTGCCTGAGGGCAATCATTCTGTTCAATCCAGGTAAGAGGAGGATTACCCCTGTTTCTCAAGACCAAGGCAACCTTGGAGCCTCCTCTTCTCCAGAGACTCCTAAGTTACCCAGCTGTCCCCCTCAATCTGGAACTCTCCCAGCTGACCAAGAAAAACCCACATGCACTGATACGTTCCCCTTTGGCCCCATTCCACAACTTAGCCAGGCACCTGTTAAAGGGCCAGTAGGTGGGGCCCAAAAGGGACATCGTATGGGCCACATCTCCACATTTGTCCTGATTTGTCTTCTTCCTTCTCTCTTCCCTGCCATCCCAGATGCCAAGGGTCTCTCCAACCCCAGTGAGGTGGAGGTTCTGAGGGAGAAAGTGTATGCATCACTGGAGACCTACTGCAAACAGAAGTACCCTGAGCAGCAGGGACGGTGAGAAGGAGCTGTGGGGGTGTGGGGTTGGGGGGTGCCATGAAGTTGTGTTCAGGGCCCGTGTGGTTCCAGCTGTCTTCTTCCACCTCTGCTTCAGGTTTGCCAAGCTGCTGCTACGTCTTCCTGCCCTCAGGTCCATTGGCCTTAAGTGTCTAGAACATCTGTTTTTCTTCAAGCTCATTGGAGACACCCCCATTGACACCTTCCTCATGGAGATGCTTGAGGCTCCCCACCAGCTGGCCTGAGCCCAGACCTACACGTGGTGCTCCTCACACTTGAGGAGTACACATCTGAGAGGGACTCCAGCCTTGGGGGCACGGTGGGGAGGGGCCGTGTCCTAGAATCTTGGTGGGGTGAGGAGTACGGGGCAGAGTTGAGACCTCCAAGGGGATCCATAAACCCTCCAAGAGGTTTGTTTGATATCCCAAGTCAGAGGGGACCCCAGATCCTTGTGAGGGCTGGACCTCATCCTTCAGTGACCTTGAGTCTCTGAATTTGTCTTGGGTCTGTCATGATTTGGGGTGATTTCTTACCCCCTGCCTGGAACGATCTCTCCTTCCCCCAGCACAAAGCACTGGCCTTGCTCACAGGACCTTGCTTCCTTCTCATCTTGCCTCACTTAGCTACCCATGTGAAGAGAGAAAATGGGAACTCTCTCGGAGATGGATACTGGGGGGCAGGCCCCCCAAACTGATGGACATGGGAGTAGCACTCTGACAGGCTTTCCTCCAGGCCTTGACAGCCTTGACAGTAGCCCAGCAGGTGGGGGCTACTCTGGAAGAGGGAGGAGCCCTGTCACTGTCTCCTGTTCAGAGCCCCCCTCACACTTCACCTCCTGCTGCAGTCAGACTGAATAAAAAGGTGGTGGTGGTTAAGGGGTGGGTGAAGATGTAGGAACCGATCTGCTATTTTTAATTTCCTCTGAGGATAGAGACTTGCAGTTAGACTCAAAGAAGTACTGTACTTTCCCAGGTTGACTAAGAAATGCCAGTGGTGGAGGTGGTGTTTGGGAAAGGCAGGGCCCTGAGATGGTCTGTCCCTGGGGCCCTTCAAGCACTGGCCTTCCCTATCCCCTCCCCCATCTCTTGTCTAACTTGGGGAAGGGGCCTGGGATGTGATGGCAGGGTGGTTTGGTGAGTAGTCCTCAGGCCCTTCCTTTCACAGCCTTCCCCCAGACCTGGGCACAGTGTAGACTGGGGACACAGGACCCTGGCCTGAGAATTGAGGGGGGGATGGTCAGCCTGCAGAGATAGGGTGCTGGGGCTGCATGATTTTTGCCTCGCAGTCCTTCTCTCTGGGTTTCCTTTCCCTTCTCTTTCACTCACACATAAAATAGCTTTCAAATTAAAATCAATGTTTTCTGGACTGAGGTGACTGTG